TGACCGGGTGCATATAGATGGCTGAAACAAGTTTCACTAAACAGTAACTCCAAATATTTGACACACAGTTATATCTCTCTTCTCTTTATTTCATTAAAAATGCATGTGTGTGACCCACTCGGTTTCTAGACCCATGATGGATTGTATAGATGGTCTTTTGAAAGGCCATCCTAGAATAAGATTTTGGAATGTTCTATCATACCAAGCAAAGGTCCGAGGATTAGAATTCCGTCCAGAGGTCAGAGAATGTAGTATATGCAACTGAGGGAGACTTGAACAGCTTTGTAAGTCCCAACATGGTTGTGTATGACCTCAACCAAGATCTCTATGTATTCATGCCTCAGTTTCAAGTAGAAGATGTGTTTAGAAATACCTCAGGTATTGCTAATACCACAGGGTGTTTATGAACAATAAAATCCAAATCAGGTGATGTATATGAAAACACTTTGTAAATGATAAAATAATTTCGTGAGGTATCGCTGTTTTAAACTACTCTACGATATCTTCTCTATCACTCAGGAATCTGAGAGGATGGTGCTATTTCACGAAAATTGATTTGAGCTCTTCAACACTTGCCACATAAAACAAAGACAGCCCCGACGTCTTTAATCAAAATGACGGTCAGCTTCTAAAAATGAGTCCCGTCTCCCCTGAGATCATTTAGAATTAAAATCTGATTTAAACGAAGGGAAAACTGCAGTGTGTTTGGGTTTGCTTCAGAGACTTTTAGTTCCCATCTTGTCTCCCCTTCTCCACTCTAGCCAGTTCAGTGAGTCCTTCAGGGCAATCTTGGGATTGTTCAGTCATGTTATTTGCCTTTAAGAATCAGGGTTGGGCTGAACGCTGCCCCTAACGCAGGTTTCCCCCACTCTCCGTAGTAGAGTATCCCTGTGAAACCTTTCATAAGCCAAAATTATGTGAAGCAGCAATTGCCACTCATTTACATGGAAGAATTTTTGAGTATTGCCAGACCTCAAAAATAACCTGCCAAATATCATACCAAACAACACATAAAACCTAAAATAATACTCATATAGTAAAATGGTGTTATACACTCAAAGCCTATAAAAAGTAGCTCCCAGGGCAGGAGCTTGGAGGGGCCACTCGCTACTTGAGGCACACGCTGCCTCTGTGGTGGCTGCTGCAAAACAAACACTGAGCAATATCTTTGCTTTTTGCCTTTTTTTTTTCCAACGATTTATTTCTTTATGCATACAAGAGGTGGGGTGCATGCGAGATGCATGGGGGGAGTTAGAGGATTCACCAGAGGTAGAGTGGGGAGCAGAACAGGCGGATCTACTGAAATACTACTGAGGGGAGCAGCGGGCGAGGCAGGAGAGGTCTGCTGTGCTATGTGGGTAGCTCCCTGGCCAGGGATTGTACTTGTGATGTAGTGGCTGTGGATAGCTTCCTAGGTTGTGTCTTAACCCCTTGCACCACCAGGGAGGCCCTGCCTTGTGTCTTAAGAGCAAAATCCTCTTTAGATTTATTTTGGTTTCAAAATCAGGGAGGGCTTTTGTAAAAGCAAAGTGATAAAATTCAAACTTTTGCAAACTGGGTGTGCCTGTGTAAGAATGAGGGTTGTGTGGAATGATACCTCCAATATGTTGCTTTAAAATCAGCTAAATGATGGCATAAGGCAGAAGTTGTGCATAGGACATGGGATAGGGGTGAACGTTTCCTCGGTTGGGTTCACCACTCTGAGGATCAATGTCCTGGAATGGAGACCATTCTAGAAGCCCAACTTTGCAGAACAGAGCAGTCTCAGGCAGCTCTGGGTGGGCAGGGGCCTCACAGCTCTGCCCTCCCCTAGGTCCAGAGCTGGATGGGAGGGCTGCGGTTGGGTCACTTCTATGGTGATACCTGGTGGGGTGTCTGGTCGGCAGGATGGAGTCTACATACTTGCTTATTCCACTTTCTCCTCTGCTTCCAGGCTATTTGTTTTCTAATCAGTTCCTTTGGTGGAGTCTACAATGAGAGGCTGGTTATTCCTATCACACGGTATTGTTTTCTCTGGGTCTCCCCCTCAACAAGCCCAGTAATTTCACCATCCCCAGATGAGAGGGATAAGTGTTTGAGATGCATAACTGTGTCTCATTTCAGTGCCTGATAGAAGATGGAGAATGAGCCCTGGCACCTTTCTGCTCAGTAAATTCATAATTACAGGCTTCCTCGTCTCGCCTCTTGCAAACTAGAGAATTGTTGATTGGTTTGTGAGTCTGTGCGTGCATATAGCAAGTTGGGGATGTGGCAGGCACAATTTCCCCAGTACTTGGTAGGTTCCAGTACAGGGACTGATGAAGTTCCCTCGAGAGGATTGGTAGCTGAGTCCTGACCTGCACCTGCCTTTCTGGAACGAGGATTCCCAGTCCTTCTGGAATTTGGTTCTTGGGAGCGATGTTCTGGAGCTGGTTAGCCAGCAAAGTATATGGCACCCAAAGAACTGTGTCCTCCTGGCAAAGGCCAGGGAGCAGATGCTGAAGAACAACAGAGAAAGTCAGAAGACCAGCTGTGGGTGGTGGAAAGAGCACTGGGCTGGGAGAACAAAGACGTGAGCTTAATCCCATCCCCACCTTGAGCTCATGTCTTGATCTACCAGTCACCCAACTTCTCTGTATCTCAGCTTCCTTGTCTTTAAAATCAGGGGTGAGGGATCATTAAATTTGTTATGTCTTTCACATCAAAAACTTCTAGATTCTTCTCTGGTATTTGAATTTGCCTGAGAAATTCTAGATGGAACCATTCTGACTCATCACTCCAACTGGGATGCTGCCATCGCCCTCTTGTTATCATATTCCTAATTCTTTTCATGTTATTTCAGTCTTGCACACAAAGATGATCAGTGAAGCCCTCTGAGGGATGGCACTTGCCAGGCTATGCCCTGTGGGTCTCAGGGGGCTCTGCTTTCCTTCTACACAGTTGATGGGAGGGGGCATGAATGGGTGCTGTCTTGGGATTTCTGTGTTTGGGGACATACATGAATTTAGAAGGACTTCTAAGTGCCCTCTCTTCTGGGCTATGGAATTGTGCATTTTTTAGAAAGAAGAGAGTTAAGACTAACTCTGCCACTTATTAGCCATGTGCCCTCACCTGAAAAGCAGGTAAAACAATGCTGACCCTGGTGAGCAGCTGTAATTGGGCAAGGTTGTCTACATGTAAGCATTTGCAGAGAACCTGGGATGCCAATGAACACTCCATGGGTGATGATCCCACCTTGCTTGTGCTCCCTCTCTCCACCAGTCAGAAAGTAGTTCTTGGCTTCCACTATATTCCAGGTCCTGTCCTTCCAAAGCTGCAAGTCTTCCCCAAGTTCATGGCTTGGCCCAAGAGTCACCCCCTCCCCAGGCCTCCACAAACTTCTTCTTCCTCCTTCACCCCAAGGTAGAAATCAGAATTGAGATGTTTTCATGGGAACTTCTGAAACACTCTATCATCCATCACGTAACTTTTTACCATCTGAGCAATTTAGGCTCCAGTGGGGTCTGTAGATATGAGTCCAAGTTCTTTGAGGATCTACTTGAGCCCAGCTCTCCTCAGATCTCAGAGTCTTGCACAAAGGCCCCCGCCTTCCAGGGCTGCTAGGTTATGGGGTGCACTGTCTGCCGGTATCCTCCTCTGAGGTTCTCTCGAGAAGACCTGTGGTTTTTATTGGGACTTTAGCTGACTGTTAAGGCTTTGTTTACTTCTCTCTTCTCTTGGTTTTCCTTGAACTTCATGCTGTCTGCCCTCTGAGGGGTTTTCCATTGCTCAGTGATCCATTCTTCCCATCACCCCATTTGAGGCATTTGGGGGTGAAGCAGACAAATTCTGCAGAGCTGAGATGTCCCCCAAATAAGATATTGCCCATCTCTGGGCCTCCCTGGTGGCATAAGGGATTAAGATGCAACCTGCAAAGCTATTCTCAGCCACTGCAGCACGAGTTTGATCCCCAACCAGGGAGCTACCCACATGGCTCAGCAGACCTCTCCGGTCTCGCCTGCTGCTCCCCTCAGCAGTGTATTTCAGTCAGTCTGCCTGTTCTGTTCCCCACGCTGTCTCTGGTGACTCCTCTCCCCCCACATCTCTGGCCTTTACCCCAGTTCTTGTATGCATAAATAAGTAAATCTTTGGGGAAAAAAAAAAGACAATGTCCATCTCTGCCCTGCTTTCTCCCAAACTGGGAGGAATACAAAGCTATCCCTCAGAAAACACACAGAGAGGGCCTCCCTGGTGGCGCAGGCGATTGAGCACAGCGCTGTGAAGCTGTCCGCAGGCTAGGCAGTGCCAGTTTGATCCCCACCAGCTGCAGAAAAGCCCACATGGTGCAGCAGACCTCTCCTGTCTCGCCTGCTGCTCCCCTCAGCAGTGTGTTTCAGTCAGTCTGCCTGTTCTGCTCCCCACTCTGTCTCTGGTGAATCTTCTCACTCTCCCACACGTCTAGCCTGTACCCCAGTTATTGTATAAATAAATAAAATCTTTAAAAAAAAAGCAAGCACATGCAGAGAGCATCTTAAATAAAAAACAAATGAAGCCATTAGGATGGAAAGCTATTTTGTTGCACGGGGAGTTATTTATTTATTTTCTTGACCACTGTTTAAAGCCTTTGTTCTCTCCCTTTAAGGAAAACCTCTCAGAGGAGGCCCCACTGTTAAAATGGCATCAGAGCTCACGAGTGGGCATTAAACCCAGAGGACCTGACTGCTGGCATGGTGTGATGGGATGGAGGATGTGGGTTTTCAGCTTAACCCCATCCTCATCCTCATCCCTGTCATGATTATTCCCACCAATACTCTGATAACTAGGACTATTGCTGGGGTGCCCTCCTGGGCCTTCACCACCCAGCTCTGTCCCACGGTGGGAGCCGGGCCTTAGACTTCCAACTCCCGTCAGTGAAGTTCTCTGTTTCAGCACGTGCAGAATGCTTTGGGGGTGGGGAGCAGCCAGGAAAGCTGGGGGGAATGGGGACTAAGCCATGGCCATTGTCATTGTTATCCAGCATCACCTGTTTCCTTTCCCCATAGGGAGCCTCTACTCCCGGGCCCTGGCCCTCCGTGGAGGCCGCTGTGCCCAGAGCTACTGAGCCGCGAGGACCCACCTTTGAGATGAAAGCCATGCCTTGGAACTGGACTTGCCTGCTCTCCCATCTCCTGATGGTGGGGATGGGCTCCTCCACTCTGCTGCCCCGGCAGCCACCCCCGCCGCCCCAGAAGCGTTCTTTTGTCACGTTCCGCGGGGAGCCAACGGAGGGTTTCAACCACCTGGTGGTGGATGAGAGGACAGGGCACATTTACTTGGGGGCTGTCAACCGGATCTACAAGCTCTCCAGCGACCTGAAGGTCTTGGTGACCCACCAGACGGGGCCGGACGAGGACAACCCCAAGTGTTACCCGCCCCGCATCGTCCAGACGTGCAACGAGCCCCTGACCACCACCAACAACGTCAACAAGATGCTCCTGATCGACTACAAGGAGAACAGGCTGATCGCCTGTGGAAGTCTTTACCAAGGCATCTGCAAGCTCCTGAGGCTGGAGGACCTTTTCAAGCTGGGGGAGCCTTTCCACAAGAAGGAACACTACCTCTCGGGCGTCAACGAGAGCGGCTCTGTTTTTGGAGTGATCGTGTCCTACAGCAACCTGGATGACAAGCTCTTCATCGCCACCGCCGTGGATGGGAAGCCGGAGTATTTCCCTACCATCTCCAGCAGGAAGCTGACGAAGAACTCTGAGGCGGACGGCATGTTCGCCTACGTCTTCCACGATGAGTTTGTGGCCTCCATGATTAAGATCCCTTCGGACACCTTCACCGTCATCCCCGACTTCGATATCTACTACGTCTATGGCTTCAGCAGTGGCAACTTTGTCTACTTTTTGACGCTTCAGCCTGAAATGGTGTCTCCTCCCGGCTCCACCACCAAGGAACAGGTGTATACCTCCAAGCTGGTCAGGCTCTGCAAGGAGGACACTGCCTTCAACTCCTACGTGGAGGTGCCCATCGGCTGTGAGCGCAGTGGGGTGGAGTATCGCTTGCTGCAGGCTGCCTACCTGTCCAAAGCTGGGGCTGTGCTCGCCCGCACCCTCGGGGTCCGCCCAGAGGACGACCTCCTCTTCACTGTCTTCTCCAAAGGCCAGAAGCGGAAAATGAAATCTCTGGATGAGTCGGCCCTGTGCATCTTCATCTTGAAGCAGATCAATGACCGCATTAAGGAGCGGCTGCAGTCCTGCTACAAGGGTGAGGGCACGCTGGACCTGGCCTGGCTCAAGGTGAAGGACATTCCCTGCAGCAGCGCGGTGAGTCGGGGTGGGTCTGCCAACTGGGGTGGTGTGGGGGAGGGGCCTCGCCTGTAGCCTCTGTGGGGTGTGAATCTCCCTTCTCATTTTGCAGATGGGACAAGGATATCCTGTCTCTGGTTCTTGTTGGATTCAGGTCATCACCAGGTCAAACAAACTTTGACTGTGATACCAAGCTTAGAAGAGTCAGAACTGGATTTTCAATGGAGGTTTCTCATGGGGAGCTTTCCTCTGCCTTGGCTCACTGGTTGTAAGAGGGAGTGCTGGGAACAGGCAGGGGTTTTGTGATGCACCAGGGAGACCCCAATGTGCTTGCGAGTTCAGCAGATGACAACCTGTTGGAGCTTTGCTTTGGGGCAGAAGCTGATCCACTCGGGAGAGTCTAGGAGACAGGATTAGGAAATTGGGGAGGCCATGGACTGCTCCTAGATGAAGACAATGAATGACAGCCCAAAGCTGTGCAGTGTGTATGCATATTACACATGCAAGCCTAGGTTCCTGGCATGTTGGTGTATATTACCATGCAAGCCTACGTTCCTGGCATGCTTTGGCATGTTGGTGTGGGAACTTAGAGACCCCCAGTCCCTTGACCCCTGGTCTAGACCTTCATTTTAAGGTCCAATAAAGTGAATCAATTGCCAAGGTCACTCATTCTTGTGGGGGAGTGGCAGAGACAGCTCTTTAGGAGAATCCTTCATGCCTCTAATCACCACACCTGCCTGCACACACATACTCACCTGCACACACACATACACATTCCTACAATGCTCACTGGCACGTAGGTGGTAATCTCCCCATGAGGATGCACTCGTACATCCTAAGTTAGAAATGGAGCATTTATGCTGTGTGCTTTCTAAACAGCGAGTTCTTTTGCCATCCAAAGGACTGGCTTTCTTTTATAGAAAACTTATCCAACCCTGTCTTTTGGGTGATGCTTTGGGGAGTGACATCCACCGCAGGGATTAGCCTTGTTGCTCATGGGCGGGTGTCCATCCTGCCCTTGCTTCCTGCCACAATACAAAAAGCGAAGTCCATCCTGGGAGTCTGCAGAGCTGCAGGTCCTAACACCACATGGTGGCCTTGGAGAGAACAGAGGGAGAGCAGCTTTGCAAGACAGGCCAGTGCCAGGACCGGGAGGAATGGAGCCAGATAACAAGCTTTTGATTTTTCTTTTGGCTTTAATTAGCCCTTTCAAGTTAGAGGCAAGTTCAGGGTTGAGAGCAGAAAGGAGGAGGCCAGAAACTCCGCACAGGGCTGGGGCTTTCTCTCCAGACAGGCTCAAAAGGCCACACTGGCTTTTAATGCGTGGTATCAGTTTCCTTTGATTGGGCCAGTGCTCGAGTTACTCTGCTCCTGCTCTCGCCTACAATTCATTTGGCCTCCAATTCATTTGGCCTCGGCTCAGACCTCACAGGTTTCACACTCCAGCCACCAGGCCCACGAGGCACTTTGCAAAACCTCCTTTTCCTCCACCCATGGATGTGGTTGTTGAGTGCATCCTCTCTGCACCCCGCCTGCCTCGAGGCAAAGATGGATGAGGTGAACTCCAGAGTTCTCTTTTGCCTTGGGGTCAGAGTCCAGGATTCCTTCGAGGCCCAAGAAGCAGAACCAAATCTCAGATGATTTCTGTCCTGTGGCTTTTCACCTGCAGCAAAATGGCAGAGGGAAGGGGAAGGCCCAGAGGTTGACCTTTAGGGTGTGTGTTTGTTGGATGGGGGTCCTCTGTAGGTTTTATCATAATTACAACTCAAGCTTTTTTTTTTTAAAAGATTTATTTATTTATTTATATTTTATTTATACAAGCACTGGCTACAGCCAGAAGCGCTGGAGGGTGAGAGAATTCACCAGAGCCAGAGCGGGGAGCAGAGCAGGCAGAAGGATCGAAGTACACTGCTGAGGGGAGCAGCGGGCGGCAGGAGAGGTCTGCGCGCCATGCAGGACCCTCCTCTGGTGGCTGGGGAGCAGCCAGGGATCGAACTGGCGCTGCTGAAGCTGCGGGCAACCTCATAACCCAGCGCTCAACCGCTGCGCCACCGGGGAGGCCCACAACTCAAGAGTTTTAAAATGGGCTGTGCTTAGTGGTTCATTCTAGATTGCAATATAATAGACATATAACATTATGTTAGTTTCAGGTGTACAATGTAATGATTTGATATTTGTATATATTTGTAAATGATTGCTACAGTAAATCTAGTTAATATCCATCCTTACACATAATTACATATTTTCTTCCTTATGATGAGAATTTTTAAGATCTACTCTTTTAGAAACTTTCAAATCTGCAATATATGGTAGTATTATCTATAGTCACCATGCAGGATAGTATATCCCCAGGACTTAATTGTTTGGTATCTGGAAGTTTATAACTTTGGGTGATGCTCCCTATCCTAATTCCCTAAGCTGGAATGTCCTTCCCAGCAGACTTTCCCAGCTCCCTCCCTTTCTGAGCAATGGGACACAGGTCCCAGCTGCCACTTGGGCTGTGTTTGGGGGGATGGGGTAGGAGGGAAGAGAACCCCTTTGTCACTCAATTGGCCATGCCACAGAACAACTGTGGATTCAATCGGTGGGCCACAGCCTGGTGCCCAGATGGGAATGTCCTATAGTCCTGGTCTGCAGTCATCCAGAGAGTTCCCTGCTGTTTTCATTCTGGGTGAATCAGAGAGGGCGGGCTCAGCTCACAGCAGGGATAAGGGGTGGCCAGCCAGGAGCACTGTCCTCTTAGAATGTGTCCCTGCCAATGTAAATGCTTGCTGCAAATGAAAATCCCTAGGGAAGTGGCCCAGGTGTTTCCTGAAGCTTGTGGGGAATGAGAGCAGCTTCTATCTTTACCTTCTGGACTATTCTTTTCCTGTGTCCCAACTTTATTCAGCTTTGAGTATCCGGAGACAAATCAGCTAGTATCTGAAAGTTGCTCTAAGAATCTCAAGAGGGCACGGGAATAAGGGAGAGACCTAGAGGTATCAGCCTAATTTGTCTTGAGATTCAGGGACAAAAGACCCACCCAAGACCCTTTGCTAGTGAGTGACCAGATGGGTTAATGATAGTGATGTGATTTTTCTGTTTCTGCTGCTCAGCCCTGGGATGGTCCTCATCTCTGGTCCTTTGGAAAGCTGCCACCCAGGCTCTCAAAACCCTATTTGCAGAGCACACAATGATTGGGCTGAGGAGTCCACAGCCTGTGCCTTCTGTCACATGCCTGGGTCCTGAGCAGGCCAAGGTGACAACTTCCAGTCCTTACCTGGGATTCTGGAGACTTCTGCCCTGGAGTGGGGCAACAGGGTAGAGAGCCTGCTGGTATGGGCCAAAGCTCTTGGTTTTTGACATAGACCATGGCGCCCGACTTCCCAAGCCCCCCAGCATGGCTGGCTGTATTTCTACCTTTCTTCAGCCTTTAGGGGTAACTGCACAGAACACTGACCCTTCTGTCCCAAGTGCATCCATGAATTAATGACTGGGCAAAGCATTTAACTAAGCCCTTGGTAATGTACTCACTCTTGTGGATGCCAATAATCATGAAATAACATTGGCCTCCAGGAGTCCAAGAGCCCAGGGCTGAAATGCCCCCTCAAGTCATGCTGGCCGTGCGATGGATGTGGTCCTGGCTGTGACCTGCCCTCATCCACCGAAGTCTTCCCTGTGTCTGGAACCAGCTGAGAAGTGGACAGGGGCATCAGGCTGGGCTGGAAGGGGCCAAAATCAGCTTCTTCATCTTCCTCTCAAGACTTGAACTTTGAGTGAACTTCCAATAGAAAATGGAAGTCCTGGGAGCAGGAATTCTTATCCAGAATCACTGCCTCACACCCACTGAGCCCCAAAGTGGGAGCAGAGAGCAGGCCCTCAAACTGCCTGGTGATCCCCGTAGGAGCACGTGTGGTGCCTGGCAGCTCATAGGGGAGTCTGCCACCTCCTTTTCTTCTCTTGACAGTGCTGCAGGATAATAGAAGGAGCAGACCTCCTTTCTGGCTGAGGAAATGAGGAAACGAGCAGTCAGGCACTTCACTCCAGGCCATGTAATTAGTAGAGGGGCAACCATAGGGTGTCCTAAAGCTCAGCCCTGTGCTTTCCCCAGTGGTGTTTCCTGATGTGCTTAGTGTTATGGGGAGGGTGCAGCAGGCTTCACGACTATGGCCCAGAGCTTTGAGCGCAGGTAGGACTATACAAGCACTGCAAGGACTAGAAGCCCAGGGGACCCAGCGCTAGGCCTCACCCCTGTCTGTCTTCCGGATTTATCCGCCTGCCCTGCCTGGTCCCACCAGGTCACAGAGGCACAGGGACAGGAAGCTTCACCTGGTGGTGGGGGCTGGTGGAGGAGAACCCCGTGGCTGGGCCTGGGGCTTGACTCCTGTAGTCATTGTTTCTCAGGCATGGCCGCCCTGGGAGGAGACAAGGTCACCCCCTGGACTCAGCTGGCCTCCCATCCTGGCCTGCACGGTCAGGTCACTCAGGTTCGTCTGGCGCCTGGGATCCTGAAACTCCATGAGAACCAGCATCCGGATTGGCCAGGCAGCCATCCCAGCTCCGGGTGCTGGCTTCTGCCAGGCTGCTTGGGGTGTTTTCCTTTCCTTGTCAGCAGGAAGTGCGGCTCTCGCTGGATGGGGTGTTTCCTGTTGTTCATGGCGCTAGGCGAGCTCTGGCTTTCTGCTCCAGCATAGTCCGCTCAGCCCGAGAATTCCTTCTCTGGCTTGCCTCAGCCCTCCTTTCTCAACTCCACTGCATTTGACTCACACGTGTACTTACATGTGCGTGCACACACACACACACACTCACATGCACTCACACGCACACTGAAGCCACTAACCCTGCAGGCCACTTACCACTTAGCCCTGAAAGGGCATCACAAATCCCCTTCACGTGGACCAAGGGCTCACCCCCACAGCCTACTGGCCCCATAGTCTGATTTAGTATCTGGGGGACATAAACATCACAACCCAAATCTGATTTTAAAGAATTTTTGTTTTATTTCATTCATTCATTCCTTTATGTGCTGCATAGGAGGG